GTGATGACGCTGGTATGTGTTTGCAGTACACAAGCCACGGTTAAGACAGCTGACTCCACTGTGATGTGACCCCCTCTCTTTCTCTCACACACACACACACACACACACGATGTGCAAAACTCTTCATTTGGACAGTCAATAGCAAATACTTAAACTAATAACAAAACAGTAGCTAAGCCTAATTTAAATTAGGTATGTTTTTTAACAAAACAGTAGCTGATTCAGAAGCGCCGGATTGTCATAGCAAAGTCAGAATTACTTCCTCTCCTAGGTTCACGAAACGGTCATCTATAAATCAAAACGGCTTGCCATAGTAAGTGATCTTAAAGATTCCTAAATGCGTCTACTTCCGGAAGGCCAAATAAAGTGCTTTTGCTTTCGCCTAGAAACACACAGCGTCTCTCTGACATGCTGCTTCAACACTAACTGCGGTTACTGAAACCACACCTTCTTTCTTTGCGTGAACATTTGGGCGCATTATGCAAATATTTCCACATAGTGAGGTAGATATGTGGGGGCGTGTTAGAACGAGCCGTTTTAGGGGGGCGTGGCAGAGTCTTAACTTTGATAAAGAATATCTCTTTGGTTTTGAGACTTTAGTCTTTGCAACTTCAGGGATCTTATCTATGCACAATCAGCTTGTAACACTCCAAAGAGAAAGGAAAACTTGAAATTGCATCATATGACCCCTTTAAAGTTAAGTGGAACAAGAACTAGGTCTGCCCTACCACGTTCTGTTCCAGGTCCTTAGGGCTTCTTCATTTTAATAAAACTGTGCGCCATAGTGGATGTCTTTTTCTGGAAGAGTCTTGTGACAGACTGACAGCAGTTGGGAGGGGTGTCGTCTCGAACACTGCCATGCTGTCAACTCGAGGTCAAACTGCAAGCCCTGAAACGCTGAGTTTGTGTGAACTAAATATCAGTCTTTATGAAGACTGATGTGGTGCTGCTTATTCAGTGCCTTACAAAATGCTCCAGAGTCCAGACCCTTGACGACCGGTAATTCTTTTATTGACAATATTACAAATATTGTGTTGGTACACCTATAGAAAAAGCGTCAAAACGCGTCAGACCGAAGCAGCTTGATGAGATGCTGCCACCACCATAGTTGGCTTATACTGTGGCCACACTTTGGTGTTCAAATCGAGGCTCTGTCTCGGTTTCTTGTGATGATGTTGCAGCTAGAGAACTGCTTTATTTCAGTATTTTAGCAGCTACAGCCCTGGGCAAATGTCTTCTGCAGTAATGGCTTTTTATGGCCTTTCCTTACAGAATAGTGTCATGCAGAGCTCTTGATATGTTCATTGGGATCTGCAATTCAATGATTTGAGTAAACCTTTGCAAGGCACTATGCATATAAATGAGATATACACTGAGATTCACAGGGCCCATTTTTTTCCCCATTCTTTTTTTCTGTTTTAATTTTTCTGGATTTCCATTTTAATGTTTAATTTATTTATTTAGTATTCAAAAAGTATGTCCAATTAATTGAAATCATGAAACTTATACGATTTAACAATGGTTTATTAAAAGATTAACACATTTTTAGGGCCCTATGGCATCTTGTATTTCCCCCCCAAATTCTGTTTTGTTTTTCTTTAGTTCTGTTTCTGTCTTAAAGGTGACATATCATGAAAATCTGACTTTTCCAGGTTTTAAGTGCTATAATCAGGTCCCCGGTGCATCTACCAACCAAGGAAACGTGAAAAAGATTAACCCAGTAACTTTGTTTTGGGAAGCCTTTTTCTGCAAGCGTCTGAAAAAATGAGAGCGTCTGATTTCGCTCGCTTGGTGACGTGGCAAAGGGCTCTCATTATAATATCACTGCCCCTTAATCTGTCAATTTCCACTCACGGCGCCGTTATTGTGTTTTCGCAAGCGACAACGGTGTACCAGCTCTAATGCCATGGCGAAAGTTTGAGCAAAACATGCTAACTGTTCTGTCTTTGGCTGCACAGACGAGCCCAGAACACTATTTACAGTCCCAGCCTCAACAGAGCAGTGGATTTATTGATTTATTTACTGTA